TGTTCTTACCAGATTGCGAGGACAGAAGTTTGTAGAACAGGGTTCGGAAGCAGTCCAGACGAGAGAACCAAAAGCTCAAAGGACCACATCTCTAAGCTGCTCAAACAACATCATCAAAAACAAAGATACTATAAAACGATACTAATTAAGAGATCCATGGAGTTGAGCCACTTATATTAATTAAGAGAAGCAAGATTTACCAATTCTCAACTAGGTTTAGGCTAAACTTTATCGCTGCATTGGGATTTCATTTCAATACATTCATCTTAATGAATCTATTTTATACAAGTCGTCTTGTTTCAAAAGTTACCACCAAAGATTAATTGATGTAGCCATTTTTCAGTTTTGACTTACCAGACCATAAGTGCAGAAGGAATAGCTAGCTTTGTAAAACCGACGATATCGCGCAGAGCCTCCTTCGAGAAATCGGTCCAGGTCAATGAGCAAGAAGGTGAAAACTTGACGTAACACGACAGGAGAATGACATTAAGCCAGTAGGAGATAGAATTCGCCACAGCAGCTCCTCTAAACCCTAAACCAGTTTTCAACACCAAGACCCCACAGAGGACCACATGAATAGAAGCGACGACTCCAGAACAGAGAACCACAGGAAACACATTGTTCTGCGCCTGCAAAAACCTGTTGAGACATTGAAGAAGACCGTAGGCGAAGATGCTAGGGATCATGAATCTGGCGTATGAGCCAGAGAGGCTTGCAATGGATTTGTCTTGGCCAAAGAAGACGAGGAAGTGCTCTGTGTTGGCCCAAATGATAGAGAGGGGAACAGAGACTAGTGTAAGAACAAGCATTGCCCTTTGCATCTGTATGCCTAACATTCCGTACATTTTAGCTCCGTAGGATTGGCCACAAAGTGTGTCCAGTGCACTTGCTGTTCCCATCTGTTCAAAGGCTAATCAGTTTAGCTTTCTTATGATTATAATTCTTGCTTTACAAGTAACTAAGTAAGCTGTCAATACATTTGTTAAGATCATTCAAATTTAAATGTAGGACATGTGAGTTAGCGACCTTTATTGTTTAATTTTGGCTACTAAAATTGTGTTTTTCTTTTTTGGACTCGTTTGAAAATATTTTATAATTTACGTAGATTAACAATTTATCAAACGTATAGATAACTTTTGGCTTTCGAAAAATACCACAAAACTGAAA